TTTATTGTTTATCTATATCTTTAATGTTTCATGTTGTGTTTTTCTTGGACTGCTCATTCAGTTCTGTTAATTCCCTGCTTTTCAGTTTTGTTTCTATCCTCTCTCTATATGTGTTTTCCACAAGGAACCAATATTCTTTACCATACATGCTATTCAATTATAGGCTTTTGGAATTGTTCCTCCGTACTGAAACATTAGCATTTTTGTGACAATGGAAAATTTGATTTGTTCTTCTTATTTTTTGTATTTCTTGGAGTTTTAAAGTATGACATTGTTATGGGCTTCAAACTAAATTGAACGGTGCAATTCTGCAGTTCTGTACTAGATGCCCTTAGTTCTGGAAGATGAAGGACTGAAGTAGGTGCAATGGCATTGATAGCACATCACACACAGGTTCTTAATGCTAAAACCCATGCTGCTAATTTCGTAGCCTTTACATCTCCTTTCATTTTTCTGCACTTTCTTCCTTTAGTTGCTGTCTATGTCATGTTTGCTAATATTCATAATCAATAGAAGACTATAATATAGTATTCTAAGGTTATGCTGTTTTTTTGTCAACCTTCAGGGTTCTTTTTCAACACATTCACTGAGTTGTAGTGCATCAAGTAGAAGGGCAAATGTGAGGTCCTCGTTTGTTCAGTTGCTGTATAAAACACGTGTTTGTGCCCCTGAAGCATCATTTTCATTTTAGGTAAGACTTAAAAACGAATGTGTTCGAAAGGAATATGACCATTTTTACCATAGTTGTTATTGGCTTTAAAAAACAACAGAGGTAGTTTTTTAAGATAAAGGAATACATGCTATGGATTGTTAATTTTACTAAAGTAATTGTTACTTGTAGGCTTGTTTAATTTAATGTTGCCCAATATCACTATACCCCCTCTTTGCAGCTATGTATGATTGGATCTAGAATCAGGTTCAGAGTACTTTGCTTCCTGGATTTGCAGTGGTACATGTCCTGAATGCAGAAATTTGTTGTTTGGTTTCATTGCTATGGTTACCATGTTATCCAAAATGAATGGTCTAATCCACAAAACTCACCCCCGCAGTTTGAAGAAGGTTAACATGTTCAGTCTTACCTATACAAATAAAGAGGTCATTTCCATTGACTTTACAAACCTAAGTTTAGGACAAAAAGGCAAACTCATCATGGAGATAAGGCCAACCTTTGAAGACATTTTTATTATAACATTTTTCCTCCCACTATTCAGTATCTTGTTGGGACATTTCTCACTATTCAGTATCTTGTTAGGACATTTCTTAAGCTTAAAAAATCTGGAATTTGAACATTGTCTCTGATTTTTATTCTGCTGTTAGTCTTACATTTACTTTGTTTGCTATAAATGGTGTAGATTGGTAATTGTCTTTGACTCTTTGTTTGGTTAAATATATTGCAGTGTTGTTGAAAATGTTTAGCTTATGATAAAACTTTTGGTGACTTTATGGTGAAAATTTGCAATCAACTGAATGAATGCATTCCTCTTGATGACATCGTGATACAGTATTGAATGTGGAAGAGTACTGCCAAAGTGATACTGACCTTTTGTTGCCTCCGTGTTATGATGACCAGTTGATTTTACAAACTTAGTCCATTATAGTTTGGCTGAATGATTTTGCAAGAGGCAAATCATATCTTACAAATGGGTATGGTATAAGATAACAGACATGATAGTATACCTTACATGCTGATATTGGCTGACATGGAGGCCTAACATTTTCAGAACCACATGAATAGATGTTGGTGGATTGCTTTTTATAATTTTTATTTTTTGGAACCTTTTTATGTGCTTATCTCTCATAAAATTGAATAAATAAGTTTTGATAGAAGGATTTTGTGGCACACATCTTTTTCAAATAATTGGTCTTAGTTAAGGAAAGTTGAGATTGAATTCCAAATACCATTCAGTCAGCTAACACTGCATGGTGCCTTATTTTCTTTTCGTTGAAGAATTTTGACTTCTTTTACTCTTTTGATCGGCTTAGTCAGTTAGTATTTGTTGATAAGATCTATTGCTATGTTTAGATTCCTTGGTCTTACCACTTCAATTGTAGATCCAACCTAACTCCATGAGGTTGACTACGTTGGGCAAATTTCATCATAAAAAACAGGTGATTAAATATATGTGTACTAGCCTTTGGCATATTATTTTTCATCGTAGTCTTTTGGAGGACAATAAAATGAATCTTTTGTCCATTTTTTATGAGTATGTGTTTCTTTAGTAGTTTGGTATCATGAAATTAATTTTTGGTACCCATGAAACAGTTTGTATTAAAGCATATTTTGGTTGTTCAAGGTGTTGGGCGCAGAGCCAACCTCGATTGAAGCTCCGGTCTGTCATCAATTTGATGTTGGGAGATGAGTAGGTTAGGTAGAAGATCCTACAAAACTAAATCAGAGGCATGCCCGACAAAAGTATTTCCAAAGTAGAGCTGGAGAAATGTAACAGTTGCTTTAAAGGGTTCAAAGGGGTGTTAGGTTACTTAGCATACCTAGGACATTTTATATAAAGCTTTGGTAATCATCAATATTAATTGGGAAGTTAATTTGTGGAATTATTAAGCGTTACTCGAACGTGGAGAGTTAACCGAACCATCGGGACATTTCCATTGGCATAGTCGTGCGAACTTGGTATATTATAGTTGTCCATTGTGTTGGGCCATGGAGCCAACCTTGATTCAAGCTTGGGTCTATTGTCAGTTTAATCTCGCTAGATGATTGGGTTCAATAGGGGCATATGCAAAATTTAGTCGGGGACATACCAAACAAAAGTCTTTAATGCTTAAGTTAGTAAATCTTGAGAAATGTAATGTAGGATTCAGAGGTTTCAAAGAGCACTACCTAGGGCTTTTTAATAAGGGTTTTGATTACCATCAAAATTAAGTGGTTTCGCTGGATTGTTGGGTGTTACTCGGATGTGAGGATTCACTCAAACCGTTAAGAGATATATGGCAGCTTCATGGCTGGATTTGACCATATTAGAGATACAGGGAGTTTCGTGGCTAGATTCGATCGTATTCGAGATAGAGAATAATTCATTATCATATTCCATTACATCGTTGATAAAGGATACTTTATGGTCATATTCGGACACGTTGGAGAAATGATGCTTCATGTCGAAGTCGATTGCATCGAGGGCTCGAGATGCATCTTGGCAACATAAGTGGTGGACGCAGGCTTACTTCTATGGCCGAGGTCGTGGGTTTGCACAAGTGAGATGATAAGGCCATGGGTGATAGGGTGACTAGTTGACAAGACGGACACTGAGGGAAACCCACGAACGAGGCTGTCGGTATAGGCGAGGGGCCCTTGAGGGCAGGAGGAACGCTGAGGGCGCGATTGCACGAGGCAGGCAATGATACTATTGCACTTGGAGACGTAGGCAACACTACTATTGTCATCACTGATGTGGGCACCTAACTCTTCCTCAGACTCCACAGCCCGATATAGATTGAATCACATTTGGACTTCTTCCTTAGGTCTAGGAGATTGGGTTTATGATATGGTCCAAGCAGATGGACTCAATGTCGGATGATGAGGAGAAGCTAATGGATTAGTGGTAGTGGTGGTGGTGTTGGTGGGTGTGGAGGAAGTTGAGGAGGAGCTGGAAGTGGGAGTGAAGTTATAAAGACGGTAGTTGGTGACACTAAGGAGGAGGAATGTTAAGGGTGCGGTCGTGTGAGTCACATGATAGGTGTCGATAACGCCGCCCTCACATATGGTCCACGTAATTCAACATCGCACACAAGCCGCAGAGCCATGAGGAAGGGCATGGGTCCAACATGGATATGCCATGTCCACCAAAATAAAAAGAAAAAATAAAAACAAACCTGTGTCAGACACATGTTCGATTGTATCATTGATGTATCCCTATTAGACATGGATGCACCCATCAAATTGGGGTGTTCGTGCTTCTTAGCCCAAAAGTCCCCAATACCCTCCATTGAGTTTGAGCATAGGAAACTCTCGTGAATCATTCATGCTTTGTCGAACTCCGTCACTATTTCTCAGGTGAGTGAATAGTTGGTAGCTCATCAATGCTAAGCTTAGTCTTGTATTATTCTGTTTTGGCTTGGGTGCTAGGCAAGTGGATTGGCGTCACTCGTGTCTTGTGTCGGAGTCATTAGATCAGCATCGCATGTTGGGGCCCAAGGCTAGCCTCAATACGCCTTGATAGTCTCGTTTTTTTATGTTGAGGGAGACGAATGTGTGAATGAGTATTGATGTCACAACTTGGGCCTGATGGGCTAAAGGGTCTATCAACTTTGTTTGGCCGAACCATTAGCCAAAATACTTAAATTGAAGTTGATAGTAGTATACTCATCAAAACCTTATAAACCAATCTTAGTTTTATCCACGTTCGATATGGGACTAATCGAGATACTATAATTTTTCCTGCTCAAGAGCTTCATATCTTCGTCAAGGCTCAACATGGCCCAAATCAAACTCTAGCATGATGTATGTGAGACATAGTTCAATGGTGACTCCATGCCGTGGCGGGTCCCCTGACTCCATCCACGAGTAGCCTTTTTCTACTTGAGCTCCTTCACTATGCTGAAATACTGCGTCGGTTCTAATACCAAATGCGACTCGGGTCTAATAAGTTAACTAGCCTATCAACTTCGTTTGGCCCAAACCATTGGCAAGAATGCTTAAGTTAAAGTTGATAGTAGTACATTCAGTAGACCCTTATAAACTAATCTTAGCCTCATCAACTTCCAATATGAGATCAATCGCGGTGTTACAATTATTAAATTGTCATTATTTTGTAAGATCTTTTGAGTAGAATTACCTTGAGAAAACTTCTAGATAACCTGAATTATTCCTTTTTAATCAAATCTAATCTATAGCATACAGCAGTGTACTTGCTGGCAATAAACTTTCTTCAGTGAAACTTAATCTTGAGTGAGGTTAGTTGATTCCCACCATTGTGCAACATTAGTATTGGAGTTATTCATCACAACATTGATCTCTAATCTTCCTCCACTATATATTAGTTGTATCTGAGCTTCCTACTTTACAAAGCCACCATCTTTGATGCTAAACAAACAGGTGGCTGCAGTCTGTGGGCAAAGGCATCCATGGAAGCCACCTTCTTCATTTTAGTAGGTAAAAGCAGTTAACCTTACCTGTCTTCCCCACCCGATGAACAGCTTCCTTGAAGCTTCCTACAGTTTCTTGCACTCAGCTGATTGGACTCGGAAAATAAATATTTCATCTTATTTAATGTCAGTTTTCAGAATTATATACCCTCAGCAACCTTTTTTTTTTCTTTTCAAGGACATAAAACTGCTTTGTTGATAAATTTTGCTGTTAATCTCGAGTTTTGGCAAATTGAGAGCTATGTCATGATGTCTTTAGAACTAAATTTGGCACAACAGGATAAATTTCTAGCATGCTTCTTAACCCTAATGTTAGAAACCTAGTGGATTCAGGTACATGTTGCATGAAACTCCACACACTCATCAGGCTTGATTGAATTTTTATGAGACTCACATTGTGACATCCAAGTTGATGCTAATTTAATGATTTAGTTTGAGGAGTCATTACATCCAAATGCGAGCTTACTCAACGCACTTGATCAGTGTCATAGGAAACATATATATTATCATGATAGAGTATGAAAGCTTAGATTAGGTATATAAAACACTAAGTGATAGACAGAGTAGTATCAGCATGAATATGAATGTTAGCTAGATATATAATTCATCATGTAGGATTCATGACAAAGGAGGTGAGTTGAACATTAAAAGTTGTCTTAGTTGCCCAATGAAGAAAAAGATGGCTTTTTCATTAAGTTCATGAACCTGAAACACTGGTCCAAAGTGTTTATTCATTTATTTTAAGAGCCTTGAAGTATTTTTTTATTCATCATCTCGGCCCAGTCTGATAACTTATTAATTTGATGAGTATGAAACACTAATTCAAAGCACTTACATTCATATTAATGATAATAGACTTATTTAACAATCTGCCCCACTTAAGTTGAACATATTGAACTGTACACTCAAGGCATCTTTTCTGGTTTGGGTACCTCATCATGTCCATAAATAAATCCCCCTTGATATGATTTGTCACAACTTGATCTGAGGAGATATCTTAATAACATTATGAATCTGAACTAAGTGCTTAGGCCAAAGTTAATTACTATAAACTTATGTAGCTCTATATACCAATTTGATTGAGCTGTTGTATGTGATGTAGATCTAAACATGCAGCATCACATTCTTTTATCCTGCTATAAATGCTCCTCATCTTCATGGTTTCACCTAAACATCACTTGAAGTCCTCACAAGAACAGCCATGTCTTCTCTTGGAGTCAGCTATGCTTACATCCATGAACTGAGGAAACGCTGCAAGGAAATGGAGAGGAAGAAGACAGATGGTGGTGTGGCCACAGAGGAGAAGAGCTCCAAGGGAAGAGTTCATCCTAGTGACACCCCTTCACCAGTGTATAGTGAAGAACGAGGTGAAGGTAATTGTTGGAGAAGCTCGTTCACCAAATAAATCCCCAAAAAAGAAAGATGATGAATTATTGGGTGTTGATGGGGGGCTTGTTTTACATTTAGACAATGCTATGTCCACATATATATATTTTGCCTTCCAATGTTCCAAGTCTCTTTAGTAGGGAAATGTGGGAGGAATAATCATCCAATTGTTTTCTTTTTCTCTACCTACGTACGACAGAAATAGATGTTGCTTTCATTATTAACATAGTTCAGGTTCATAGCCATATGGAAGTTTTTTTAAGGAATAATTTTCTTCTATCATATCAAATTGCACACGAGATACAATAATAACAACAAAACTATAGTCCCAATCAGCTACATGGATATTTTTGTTGCTGTTGAACTCTATGATTGTAAATTATACATAAAGATACTCCTACACAAACTCGAATATGAGATGTATCAATTGCCCAGCACCTACTATTTACGTCATGGTTTAATTAACATAACACGAGGACATCTCAATAAAGACGAACCATAGAGAAGTTATGATGGAAGTCAAAGAGCATATGTTCATAATTTTGGGTTCATAGAAGGTTTATGATGGAAGCCATGTATCTCAAGTTAACTTTTTTGTGTGTTTACTAGGGTTTTACTACACATATAACGAAACTTTTCTGAATTCTCTCTCTCTCATATGTTTGTATAGTACTTTATTTTGGAATTCAGTCTCAAAACCTCCTAAAATTAGATATCATTCTTTCCATTGAATTGGCATGCTTGTTGATGATTAAGCCGAAGTTGGTAAT